ACCGCGTCACCATCCTCTGCGACAAGTACAGCGGCCACCCCAAGGGGTGAGTCGGGTGACAACAGCGTGACGGGACGCCCCCGTGTCACCCCCGCGTCCCGCCACACCCACCCTGTCCCCGCTCCCCAGGTTCGCCTACATCGAGTTCTCCGACAAGGAGTCGGTGCGGACGTCGATGGCGCTTGACGAGTCTCTCTTCCGCGGGCGGCAAATTAAGGTGAGGCCGCGGGGCGGCTGTTACCGGCGCGGTGACACCTCGCCTGTGCCATTCACACCCCTCTTCGCTTCATCAAGGTGATCCCCAAACGAACCAACCGACCCGGCATCAGCACGACGGACCGGGGTTTTCCCCGCACCCGTTACCGGGGCCGCGGCGGCGGTTACAGCGCGACCCGTGCCCGCTTCTACAGCGGCTACAGTCGGCCTCGCGGGCGTGCCTACAGGTGGGTGGGGCCTCCCAAGGTGGGCTGAGGGGGGTTGGGGTCCTCCAGGAGGTGGTTGGGGGTATCTGGGGGTCGTCCAAGGTGGGATGAGGGTTCTCCAAGGTAGGACGAAGGTACCTGGGTTGGGGTTGGGGTTGTTCAAGACAGGTTGAGGGTTCCTGGGTCCTCCAGGACATGGTGGGGTTCTCCAGGGTGGGCTGGTGGTTACCTGAGTCCTCCAAGGTGGAGTGAGGTCCTCCAGGGTGAACGGAGGGTTGTTGGGTGTTTTACCAAGGTCCTTTGCCATTGGTTGAGGGGTCCTCCGGGACAGGTTGTTGGTTCTCCAGGGTGCGTTGATGGTGCTTTGGTCCTCCGAGGAAGACTCAAAGTTCTCCGGCGTGGTTTGAGCTGGGGGTACTTTGGTCCTCCAAGGCACCCAAGGTCTTCCAGGGTGGGCTGAGGGTACTTTGGCTCTCCAAGGAAGTCTGAGGTCATCCAGAACAGTCTGAGAGGGGGGTACCTTGGTCCTCCGAGGTGGTCTGAGGGTACCTTGGTCCTCCGAGGAAGACTCGGGTCCTCCAGGGTGGTCTGAGCTGGGGATGCCTTGGTCCTCCGAGGTACCCGAGATCCTCCAAGGTGGGCTGATGGCGCTTTGGTCCTCCGGGGTGGGCTGAAGAAGGGGGTACCTTGGTGCGTCCCTGGTGGTCCGAGGGTCCCTCGGTCCCCCAAGCCACCCGAGGTCCTCCAGAAC